CGAAAGATTCCCAAGCGTCTTAGGCATCTTCAGGGTGATATCTCAAGTTGACATATCAGTCCAGATACCAGTATGCATCAGGGGTCTGGTGGGGCTATCGGAATTACACGTGATCTCTTAGCCGATAGTAACTGATACGAAAACCAGCTCAGGAAGGAACTTCCCCAGATGCCTAAGATTCCTTCGATTGTTATCCTTGGTGGATAAATAGCTGGGAGTCTATACAGGCCAACGGGTTCTTGTCGCCCTTGACAACTTCTCTATCGCTTACAAATCAGGGGTTTACGCCAATTAAGTTTTACCTGTCTGAACAAGCAACAGGGGGAAGGAACTGGAGAATTGCTGAAGAACACCCACTTAGTTAAGGGCTGGTCCGTGCAGTATTTACTAGACTACGACCTCAACACTATCACTTCACCAGCCACCACTGAGTCTTTCCTACCCAACCTAGTAACATCAGATACATGTAACTTGGTATCGGTCAACGCCTACCTCCACAGGACCCTAGGATACATTCTCATCCCACCTTATGCTACACAGCTACTTTCTGATTCGGATTCGAAGGTGCACTTGCACAGCTACTTCCAATTCGGAGCCGAAGACAACCAATTACTTCCAGATTGGAACTCCAAGGTGGACGGTATCAACGCTTGACATCCCAGGAATCCCATAAACACCTACCCAATCTTGCACTTTCCAAGCTTCAAGCTTCAAGCCGTCATTATCAATACATCATTCTACACGATCCCAATCGCACGTGCATCACCCAGGTTCCTCCCGAAGTTCTCTAGTACGACAATCTTGATTGTTAACTGCTTTCGCCGCCACCAGCAACAACAACAACAATAAGATCTACCTACTGAGCCCACTACTTTTCCTCGCGTTCGTGCTATAAGGCAAAGCCGCACTTTCTTCTTCTACCTTCAGCATTCGATTCTTTATCACCTTCTAAGCACGCCGACTAAACTCAACTCATCCTTTTGAATTTCTCGAATCATCTGACCTCCTTCCTTCTATTTCACTGCTAGTCGGTTGTCATAAGGTACACTGGTACTATTTCGTATCAGTGTATTACCGATAAGCAGTTACCCTCCATAGCTTCCACGCTCTACCAAGTCTGTCATTTCTTGTTGCTAAAAAATGCCCTAACCGACGGCTGATTGCGAAACTGCAAAGCAACATGGATTCTACCATCGCGGACTCTACGAATGTGGCTTCTACTACCACGACTGTTGATGCCGCTGTCAAAATGGAGCGTACCGACATGGACTCCACCAGCATGAACACTACCACTACGACCAGTGATATCCCTATCAAAGTCGAGCCTACTAACATGGACGCTACTACCACGACTGTTGATGCCATTGTTAAAATGGAGCGTACCGACATGGACTCCACTAGCACGAACACTACCACTACCACTAGTGATGTCCCTATCAAAGTAGAGCCCACTGACATGGACTCTACTAACATGGACGCTACTACTACGATTGCTGATGTCGCTATCAAATTGGAGCCTACCGGCGTGCGCCCTACTGATGTGGACTCTACTACTGCGACTACTGATACCGCTATCAAATTGGAGCCTAACACTAAGACTGTTCGAATCCTTAACATGGGCGACGATCAGGATACACGCTTTAAGCAGATACAGAAACAATGCCGAGGCATTGTTATACTATGCAAAAACACGAGTGGTCCAAATGGTATCCCACCTCACCGTGCTGATGAGATGCGACAGCGCTTTGCAGATGCCCATCTGTTTCTTGACTGGTTGGATACCAACGTGGAGATGACACCACGTATCAAATCCGCCGGAGGAGTTGGCTTGGTCCTCGATAGATTGATGGATCCAAAGAACAATGTCCCGGGGCATATGGTAAACAAGGCTCTAGCTTTGTTTAAAAGATACGAAGCCGAGAACTGGGGTCAAGACGCCGTTGCCGACGAAGAGACTGACGGAGACAACCAATCACTCGTTCCTTCTACACCTATTCCTCAAGCAACACCAACCACATCACCTACCATTGTCAACATTCAATTGCCATCTGATGACGACCCCATCTTTGGCATCGGTGGTATTATGTACGGTATCGTTGTCGATACTAGTGGTAGAAGAAGAGATTACCGTCTGAGACCCGATCTTCCACGCCCGTCTGCTAAGGTTTATGGCAATAATAATATCGCTCTCGGCTCTTGGTTTCCGTTCCAGATCAACGCTCTCTTCTGGGGCGCCCATGGTGCGCGTATGGGAGGAATTGCAGGCAGTGTCTCCACGGGCGCATGGTCAATCGTAATTGCAAGCACGTACGAAGACCTCGACAGTGATTATGGTGATACACTTTACTATTCGGGGTCCAACAGCCACGGCAATGAAAACCCTCGCCAAGCAGCTCCTGCCAGCCAGGGCACGAAGGCTCTGCACGCTTCCCTGGCAACGCAGAATCCAGTCCGAGTTCTTCGATCTGGAGGCGCTTCGAGCGCAAGCAATCGAAACCCTCACCTCCCCTCTTGTGGCTTGCGCTACGACGGTCTGTATCGTGTTGCGCTATATCGCCAACGCATTAACGGGAAGGGTGGTCTCTATGACCAGTTCAAGTTGGAGCGACTGCCTGGCCAAACTCCTCTGAGTGAGTTGCAACGCAACTCTCCCACTACTGAGCAGATCTTTGCTCGTGACAGACTCCGCGGAGGAAACTAAGGGTTAAGAAAGATGCTGAATTGTTCTGAATTTGTAAATAGCTCCAGGAAAAGCTAATTCACGAAGATTTACATACGGTGTATTGTCCTCTACTATGTTGAATGTGTCTTTTGGTCCTTTGTTTTTATGCTCCAAGTGAATTCTCTCTAAGATCTATAGTAAGCGTGCTCACATATCAATGGAAGCTTTATGAGGTGTAACTACTGTTTAATAATTAGATAAACGAATTTAAATTTCATTTGAATTTTAAAAGATATTATATATAAGCTAAGTACAAGCTGTAATAAATCGAAAAGTGTTATTGTAAGGAAAGGATAATGTGTAGGTATTGCATTTTCAAATTAGGTTCACGTTTTCTTGTTTTGTGTGATATGCTTCATTGACTTACTGTGCTAGAGCGACTCTTCTACCCCAGGTTTTTTTGTTTTTCGTAGCTGCCATTATGTTCAGAGTACGCGCATCCGTCACTAGTGTTCGGCAATAACCAGTGTTAGTGATGAGCGGGTCATCTTTACGGTCCCCTCTCAGCTCTTGAATAGAGTTCTAGGGAACAGTTTATAAAATGTTATTCCATAATTACGTAGTGTTCGAAGCAGATGCCTATCATTCTATATCTATATTAGTACTCTAAATGCCCCTAGTTTCATGGCTCACGGCAATACTTTCGACAGTGTCAGAGCATAACTGGCCTCGTAAGAAACGCTGGCTTAGTATACTAGATACTCCGCCATGAATCAAATAAGAGGCCTTACGGGTTTTCACTTGCAAGATTCTCACATCCTGGGCATTGTATCTCGACAGAGTTACCAACAAACGTGTTCCAAGGCAATTTTCTCGCTGACCCCATGGAGCGCCCCCCGCGATCGCTTCTACGAGCAATGCGATCCTAAGTCCATCTTTTCTCCGACTTTCAGAAACCCCGTCCCTCAAGAAGGCAGTGAGAGCCTGAAGATAAGAACTTTCTTGGCCAGCAGACTCGCCAAGCGTACTTCAAGTATGCGTAAGCCGATAGCGAGGGCGATGGAAGAGATCATACCACTTCGACTGCTCTGGAGGACGAGTATTTCGGCCCAGCCATGGGGAAATACACGCTGATTGGCAAGGCGCTGGAGATGAGCAACCTGTTGCGGAGCTCTGGGGTCATTGTAGTAGTTACGGCGGAGATATTTCCTGCCACCCTCTAAGGCCGTCCTGCTCATTGGGCTGGTCAGCACTTCAAACAGAATCTGTACTTCGTTCGCGACAAGAAACTGCTCTGTCTTTATTACATTAGCTCTATCGTCACCCGATCGTTGGACTTACGTTTCAAATATGTGTATAAAACAAGCCATCATACGTATCCCGCTATGAGCTTTTGGGTGGTCATAGTGTGCCTTCGATGGTTCTTTGCATGGATTGGCCCGGTGCGTGGCAAATATCGCCTAAATACATTGAGTGTAACTGGTTCCAAATGATCAAGAGAAATGACATTGTTTATTTTCCAGTTGTGTTTAATTACTCAGATCGATCCAAAATATTTCTGGCACGCTTTTCTGGACTTGTGCCCGCCGCAGTCATGGCTTGATTAGACACAATTGATACATCTGGCAATATGCCGTACTTTTAACAAACCATCCGACAGCAAGATCTAGAAGATAGCTGGAGATTAACTGGGCGAGACAGCAAAACAAAGACATGAGGCTAGCTAGCAAGACAATGGGTAAGTTAATATCAAGGCTGTAGGCGAGGCGTTATGGAAACCCTTCAGGATTGTTGAGGCTTTTTGCCTCCTCGCCTTCCAAGACGATAGTCTAGCCTGTCTAAACGTGAGTCGTCTGTTGTGTCTTTATTTGGAGTTTTCGTGTGCGGAGTACCTCTGTTCAAAGCTTTCCAGTATCAAGCTCATCGCTTAGCTCGCCCATGTATTGGCGTTTCAACATGCTAATACGTTGTCCCTGTCGTCGTCGAACTTGACTCCGCCGGTGAAGTGGACTTTCTCGATTGCTATCACGGGACATGATAAATCTACTTCTCAGACACTAACTTAGTATCGAACCGGGTGTCGTGCTAATTATTGGGCTTATGTCCTAGGAAGCTGGAGAACTACGCTTTGAACACCAGTCGCAATATCCATAGAGACGCCAAAAGTCCGTAACAAGACCAAGCTCGTCTCTGCCTTCCCAGATGGAACAAGGTATACCTAGTATTCGATCATATCTGCGTCAGGGGTCGTACTTACCACTATAGCTGTATTATTCGCTAGGGCTCCACGTTTCCCCGTCTGCTTTCAACACAGCCTTCAAAAGGGCCAAAGGAAAAGAGCGACAAATAGGAATTGAATCATGACCTATCGGACTGCAGCCGATTGCTCTGCCACTGAGCTACCATTTCAGTTAGTTGGACATGTCAAATATCTAACCGTCGACACCTGAGCGAGGAGCGGCGAAATTATACGATGATTTGGGGTGGGCATCGTGAGTTCAGGCTGCCGTCTACGTGCAAGCGAATGCCGTAGATGTAGGGGAAAACACCCCAGTCGCATTGCGTGGTAAATCAACTCGCTCACATCACCTTGGTTTAAGCTCCGTCTCATCAAGCGTACAACAAGGGACTAGGATATGCTTCACAAGTATTCGTACTGGGAGTATCACGAAGAAAAGGCAGCTCCATTTACGGATCCCCAAAAAGCTTCGCGTACACATGGGTAAGAGTGGACGCCCAACAAATGGACATGGCCGGTTGGTCCTTCATTAAAAAATACTGAACATATCGCTGTATCGAAGTGCCCCGACGGTCGTCATGTGCCACGCTGATCTGCACGTTATCACGTACAACTTGGGTTGGGCATATTGGCCACCCGGTGGCCTGACTTCAACATTAATCGGCAATGCCGAAACTGGGACGTCATGTTGGACTGGATCACCGCCCACTCTACGCACGCAAATAACGCCGACGGGCAATTGCACAAGCTCGAGGGAGCCGCCGTCAGGAATGTCCGCACTGTTAAGTATGTGCATGTAAACGTTCAGGTACTTTATATAATGATAACCTTGGGGACTCGAGAGAAAAGCCTAGATAACCACACTATGATGCTACTGCTGTCAAGGGGACGTGGCTACAAGATACAAAGCGGCGTGTTGGTTGTTACCTTGTCTAAGGATATCATTGAAACTGTACATACTGCTAGCAGTATTAATAATAGACATTAACATTTGCCCTCGCTTTAAACACGAGGTAAAGTTCGCGGGGGCGCGAGAAACACCGTAGAGTCGGACATAAGAATTGCCAATTTGGAAATCAGCACACATTCCCAGCCATTTCAGGCAGCAACGCAGTGCTTTTTCTCCTCGTCCGGCTAAGACATTACGGATGTAAGCTTTTTAACTTCGCGAGGGCCGGCGCCGAATACCGATTGTCTCCTATCTCCGAGCTTTTCCATCATCGAGGTTGGATACTGAAGAGGTTATAGATGCCAGTTCTAACACCACATACTTCACGTAATCTCCGCCAAGTCCGTGGCTTGGGACCGGTCAGAACATACCATTACACCATTAACAAAAGGTGAGTTGTATAGACTTCTTGTCGACGACCTGTATCATCGCACTAAAAGATGACGGCGACGATGGAGGGTGAGGTATAAAGGGGGGGAGCATCGCCGATGAAGTCATGGTGAAACGGAGGGAGTTTTCATTAGAATCAATACTCGCGCACTTATACCCGCCTCCGCTTTTCTTTTATTCTTAAAATATATATTCACTAATTACTTTTACTTCCAAGCTCTTGAACTCACAATGGCCAAATACAACAAGCTTGCCGGGAAGCACATCGTCGTGATCGGCGGCTCCAAGGGCATCGGGCGCGGCGTAGTCGAAGCAGCCATCGAGTCCGGCGCCCGCGTGACCCTAGCCGGGTCCACGCAGCAGAGCGCCGACGCCGCCGTCTCCGCCATCAAAGCCGAGTATCCAAGTGCCGAACTCGTCGGCCTGGGATGCGATCTGTCGCAGACGACGATAGAGCAGGACCTCGACGCTTTGCTCACGCGCGCCAAGGAGCTCAGCGGCGAGATCGACCACATCGTCTTCACGGCCGCCGACAAGCTCACGCTCGGCGCCCTGCAGGATGTCACGCCCGAGGTCGCGTTAAAGGCCGCTCATATGCGGTTCCTCGTCCCCGTCATGATGGGCAAGGTCGCCCAGAGACATCTCGCCGGCGCGGCGAATGGGACTCCTGGAAACGGGAAGGACAAAAGTCTCATTCTTACCACGGGATCGATTGCCACGAAGCCCGCTCCGGGCTGGAGTATCATTGCGTATTTCGCGGCGGGAATTTCCGGGTGTAAGTACTCAAAAGCCGTCATCTGCTTCTACCCATGAGAACGCCCAAAAGCCAGACCCAATAGCTAACCCACCCATCAGTGACGCGTAACCTGGCGCTAGACCTCTCGCCAACCCGCGTCAACGCCGTCGAGCCGGGCCTCGTCAACACGGGGCTCTGGGATGGGCCCCGCTTCGAGAGCGTCGAGGAGCGTGAGGCCTCGCTCAATAAGGTGTCCAAGAATTTCCCCGTCGGTAAGCCAGCGAGCGTCGAAGAGGTGGCCGAGGCGTATATGTACCTCCTGCGCGATTCAAATGCGACTGGTGAGGTACTGAAGACCAGGGGCGGGCAGCATTTGATCTAAAGGGCCTAAGTGGGACGTTGAGTGAAAAGAAGGAATTGATAGACGAGCTGAATGCCTAGCCAAGACGTAAACTCATATGAGAAAGCATACTCGAATAGACGGGGAGTGAATAGCTAGATTGTACAGTCTACATACAATAGTGAACCTCATATGTCACGTAACTCTCTGATTTGACTGTTTGATACGAATATTTGTTCCCCAGCAACGCTAGAGGGCAATACGTGGTTGCCCTAGGAACTACGTTACTGGTAGAATTAGATGTTGTACATGAGCACTCACTCATCTCTTGTCCAGCGGAGTCAGTTAGTAACAGAAGTCGGGAACCGATCCCTCCACGTCATCCCAGTCATCGTCCTCAACCGGGTCTTCTTCCCCACCATCTTCCCCCGCTCACTCGCCCGTAATCGAAACAAGGCCTGTAACTGTGCCATTTCCAGAGACCGCTGGCAGAGGGGGGCCCGGTGACAATGATATGAGTTGATCTGTACAGACGTATGCGTAGGCGTAGGCGTAGGTGTAGGCGTAGGCGTAGTAGATGTACACGTCGAATCCGAAACATCAATAGACCTAGAACGCAATGCCTTTCCCAACGTGACCGGCAGTCTCGTCAAGACGACGACGAGGATCCATTGGCGATTCATGAGAAGAGATTGAGCTTTGTTATCAAGTACGCCGGGGCAAGCCACCAGCCCGGGAATTCTCTTTGCGAGCTGGATGCTCAGATTGCAAAATAGTTTCAAAAAAAAATTCTTCTTTCCTCCTTCGAGTTGTTATCACCATGGAATAATAATGAGTTTACGGGTCCTTTATATGTAACAAGAGGAGTCAAAGTCGAACTGTTCTTTCGAATCTCGCACCGTAATGTTTCCGTTAAATCTCAAGTTTGAGCACCACTGTCCAGATCGAGCGACAGGCTTAATCGATCAGTTTTAAACAATGGCCAACTCTTGTCGATGAATGTCTTTGGAAGCTTGGCCTCATGGCGGGGTGTCAAGTAGGTTCGATAACATGTGAGGGTAATGTTTCTGGAAGTGTAAATCTGCAGAGTAGAAGAGAAGTTAAGGTAAAAGGGCTCGAAAGATCTTAGAATCAAATGTCTTGCGCTTCTGTGTCTAGGCAGTTCCATCTCGAAGTAGCCGTGCATGTTCCAAGAATTATATACTCGGGAAGAAGATAGCTTCACATAGTAGAACTGAGCGCGCTAGCGGAAAGGCGGACATAGGGTTAGATAAGATCTATCGAGATGCTTGGCTTACGGAATGAAGAGCTGGTAGTTAAAATTGCATTTCATATGTTCAATGTAACGATATATACAAAAGACCGCCATGCTAAGTTGCTCATGGTTCCTCAACAGAACGATGTCATGTTGAGGTAGGGTATCAGATCCGTTTATTAAGGTATCCGTATTGGTGGGATTTCTAGTACCTGGTCTCCTCTCCTCGTAAAAGTTCCTGTTCACGACCGTTGTCTAGTGTCATTAATTGTTACTCATCATCCAGAACGTAATATAAATCCGTACCAAGTTGCCATATCTTTTCATGACAACAACACTGAAGGGCATTGTGAATATCAGACCAGACACCGAAGGTCTCGTCCACAAAAAGGAACATGAAAGAAAATGTGAAAGGTTCAATGTGAACGTGGGCAAATTGTGAAAGTGCGACTAGCGGGGTGACTCCCAACCAACTGATAGATTCAGCCCGACCAGATTGGCACGCCCTTATACGCTGGAGAGTTGTAACTATGAAGCACACGGTATGGAGCAGGAGACCCGTATTGATCAAGACTGTAATGCCGAAGGTGCCCGCGAGAAACATATCGAGTATGTTGTTGGTACTGTCTAGACTGTTGAATTACGGGCTGACCGCTCCGAGGATTAGAGACATGCGTCTGCCCATAACTCTGCTCTGTTTGAATGTAACTCTGCTTTGTCTGAAAGGAGTATCCATCGTAGCTTGACCGATGCTTTAGGGCAGGAAGATCATGTGGTGGATACCGAGGCCAGGGCTGTTGGTTGCTAGGAGCGCTTTGGTGGCTCGTCTGACTGGCTAAGGAATTGCGTCTACTATGGTCAAACGACGGCTCCCGAGAAAGTGTTGTGCCATGCTTTGGATGAGGAGTCCCATTCGAAACTCGGTATTCTCCTACATAAGGTTGAACACTCGAGGGATGCCTGGTATTTATAATAGGCGTTTGAGATGGCTCGCTCAATAATGCTCGGATTTGGGCCGGGGAGTACGCGTAGAAGCTTTCTTGGCTTGATCGCCGGGACAATACAATGTGGTTGGATTCCATCGCATGTGTGTAAGGGGGGTAACTTTGTATGCCGTCTCGGCTAGATTTTCGTGATAATGTAGGCCCCCCTGTTTTACCAGGAGGACTTGACCGCGGCCGAATTGGAGGCGGGACTCGAAGCGAGCCCATATTTCGTGTTTTCATACTTACAGGCGGTGGTGTTCTAGAGATCAAATATTGACTTGTGGATGCTGGTTTCTGAAAGGCAGTCGTGTGCTGTTCGCTTTGTATCGCTTTGTTGCTATGGTGAGGGTCGTCGTAAGTCGTCGCATTGAGATCTCCAATAGAAGCTGATATGGAGTTTGATCGGCCTCTCGTGAATGGTGGTCCACGATACCATGCTCTCTCGTCGGTAGTGGTTAGTGAAATGGAGTTCACGATCTCTACACTCTTTTGATGCCATTTGGAAGTCTCACTG